ATGTATGTTATTAATGCAATGGTGTACTTCAGGGGTTTTAGTTCCTGTACTATTTAAGCAAAACAGTCAAACTTCTGGATTTTAATAAAGTTTCATATCATTTCTCTCTGATGTTCACTGAAGTTCAACCAAGTGGGAGTCCTATACAGCAAAAAGGTAAGAGCTTTCATAAGAAAATTAATAAAAATCCAAGTACAAGAAGAGTTTTCCCAAATCTCATTCTTATGGAGAACATGTCCTACTGACAGGAATGCATGGTTAGCAGTCATGCAGGGTAATTCCATGGTGCATTTTGAATTCACAAGGGCACTCACACATTCTTGGTCAACTGCACTGCTGTAGGGCTGACCCCGAGCTGACAGGCTCAGCAGTGACCCAGCTTGTGACTGAGAACAGCTACAGAGTGCTTTAGCTAAGCTGTTTGAAACTGTCTAGATGTATATGCAAATTTCTTCCATAGGTATTATTGTAAATAATGTAACATAAAGATATTGTAAAACTGATTTCCAAATAATTAGCATCTCATATCCATCAAAAGCATACATTTTCATTAAATTCTTCTAAGCATCCGCTGCATGCGTTGTATGTCACTGTAATCCAGATCCACTAAAACCATGTTAGCTTTAGGAACAGAGATCTGGCTACTGATCAGTGACAATTCAGGGCTCAGATTTACAGCCTTCAAGTTCAGGCAGGAGAGCTGATCTTCTCCATGTTTTTCATGTTGTATGTAGAATGAAAATTACTATGGTCTCTCACAGTTATATGGATTCATTTCAGGCAAGGAAAAGAATGAAGAGACTCACCCACCTGTTCATATCTCTGTTTGGCTGCTTGTTTTCTTGGCTGTTTTAACTCTCCTCGGAGCTGGCATGTCAGCCTTTTTCTACAAAAGAAAAACACAAAACGAACTATCAACAGATCCTGGAAATGAAACACTAATAACTTCAGTCAGAGACTGAAGAATTGGTGAGAATGGGTCCTGTTGCACGAACCAATTCAGAGGAGCGATTTACTTGCTGAAACTAAAGGATGTATCTGTTAAAAGTCCCTAGTGAGACCCTTAAATGAGATCTACTGTAGTCTTAAATTAAATCCCTTTTCTCTTTTTGCACTAGCTGATTCCCTTGTATCATGCATATTTTACAAAATCAGAATTATGGATTGTTGTTATAATTTTTTTACAGTCAAGATGTTCTCAGGTGCCTTCTCAAAGACACTAATGCAGAAAACTTGTAAAAAGCAGATACATGTAAAAGGACTATAAAAGCCAACTAGAGAGAATGAATGTCCAGTGTGAATGCTGTTTAGAACTGTATTCTCGTGATTTTTTGTGGACACTGGCAAGAACTCAAAAACTGAATTCATTTTGCCCCACAAAATTCACTGCATCAGACCAGCCCTTTTATTGTTCCTTATGGCTGCATCCTATTACACTTATAAAGCAGTGATTCATACACTTATCTAAATAACTCTGCGATAGAAAACCTTGTCATTTTCATTTTCTGAAAATACAGAGGAAAATACAGTACATGCTAACAAAGGATATTAAGCTCAGGTGTGGGTTTTAATGTTTTTTCTGTCTGATAATATGATTGTTTTTATTATGTTCACTAATATGAATTAAAATACTCTCACCCTTGTTCTTGCTTCTATTCGTTAATGCTTTGTAATAAATAAATAAAGTTTTTATTAGTATAATTTTCGGCTTCAGCATTCCCTGTGAATCAAGTGAGGGGATAGGGGAAGGGAGGTGCTCCTGTCAGCACAGTGACTCTTTTGTCAGGAACAAGGAGGGCTTCTCTCCCCCCTTACTTTGAATTTAGCTTGAATAGGCATTTTTAAATGTGAAAAAAGGGAACTGAAAACTAAGGAATGAAGCCGATGGTTCTGTCCTAGTAATCTGCAAGACAACTTAAGATGTCAGAAAACCAGTGGAAAACAGTACAAAGTAGCTTTTAAGTGAGCTGCAAGTACAATTTAGACACTAAACGCTTTATGGGAAAGAGAGCTTAGCACATAGCCCCAAGAAACAACCTGCCTTCCCCAGACAGCACAGGGTCTACTGAGCAAGCTGAAAAGTTAAAAAACAAAACAAAACCCCAAACAAACAAAAAACCAAACAAGAAAGAAAGAAAGAAAGAAAGAAAGAAAGAAAGAAAGAAAGAAAGAAAGAAAGAAAGAGAAGGAAAAGGAAGAGAAGGAAAAAGAAAGAAATGAAGTTGCTTTCTTAGGCACTGAACTCGTTTTCTTGGTGTAAATGCAGACTGTAGCATTTACACAGAAGAATGTAGCAGATTGGTGAGAACAGGTTATTGCAGAAATGTTATGCAGCACCCCAGATACTGACCCCAAAAGGGTTATGATCAGCATCAAGCTGGTTGGTCATGTGAAAGGAGCAGCTCTGAATTCCTCTTTTAGCCTACCCCAGTGTCTGAACTAATCTTCCCCATCACTGTAGCCCTGTGGGGAATCCTCATTAGCATCCATTTAAAGAAGAAGGGGGAAAAAACCCAGGACTATATTGAGGCTGGCATTTTGTGGGGCAGAGAAGGAAACTGGGCAGGAATTATACCCTTCGGGTAATTTCCTTGGGATCCCCTTTGTCAGAGCTATTTCATTTTGTTAATTCAAATGTATCTGAAATTTGGCTACTCTTGCGAGCCTTCCTGACACTAAGCCCTCCCTGGCTGTCACCTGCAAATAGAATAACTATTATTAAACAATTTATTCAGTTCCTACTTTTCCTGTAATCCAGACATTTTTTTCCAGAAATTGTTTTTCGCTCTTACTACTTTCTACAGCCAAGTCAACAAGTTTATCCAGTTCTTGCAACAATTTTCCCCAACACCTTAAAAGTAAAGCCAAAGATATTTTCTGCTCTTATGACATCTACTGTTCAGCTTCTATATGTATCTCCCTACTTGCTGTTTCACTTCTCGATTTTTTCAATTTCGTTATCACAACTTCTTTTAATTTCACTTATGTAAACAAACAGAAGGAATGGCAGGACTTATTTGCATGCGACCTTTTGCCAGTATGGCTTTGCAACATAGTTGTACAAGAATTCCCATGCCAATATAAGACTTCAGATGAGCACTTTGCTCACAGATTAAAAGGAGTTTTCCCAATATAACTTGTGTTTGGCTTTGTCTTTGAACAATCTCATTAGGAATTTCTCAGATAGATAAACACATCCTTTGGTTTGATAAAAGTATTAAAGTGTTCCAGGGAAAAGTTTCCCTTCTGTTACAGGGAAGCTTACACTATCCTATAGGTTGAAGACCTTAATTTCTTTCAGGCCTTTTACAAGCAGTTATGAACAGCCCAGCCCCAAACTGTGATCAAAACAATCAGTCTGAGAGTGAAAAAATAGCAAATTTAGCCTCAAAGTGAGCAATAACTCATAAAGCACCAAATACTGTGGATCCTGTAAAATTTGCTCTTTATTCAAGATATATAGAGCTGTGACATTATAGCAACATGCTGAACCACTGGGGGTTTGTCTTCCTTTGTTTCTGGGATGTAAGGGTTAAATCAGAGACTGAGGTTTTTAATCAATGATATTTCACTTCAGGTTTCTTGTCACCAGTTCTCAAGTTGCTTTTCCAAGTCTGTCCTGTGTAGCACCTCAACAACCAACCCGTATATAATACTAGCAATGTCACAAAAGAAGACAAAGTCACCACCTCCAGTTACAAGGACAGAGACTTCAGTTTTGGAAGAGACGCTCTGTTCAAAGAGAGCAGTGTTTACAATGTGTCCTACAGTTATTTCAAAATACCATGTGACAGGACATTTCCTTATTTAGAGTACAGAGCTTTATCCATCAACCCTTTAGCACAGAGAAGGACCCGTTTCTATCCTCACTGAGAGGGATTTTTATTTATTGACAATCTTATAGTCCATCTTTTAGATGAATGAGAAGCAAGCTACATTTGCAATGAGTTTCTCCAGGTTTCCAGTTTTTCTTTCCCTTCTGCATTGTTCATTGCAGTCATCAGGTAAGTTTCCTGTTGTTTTTGTGTTAAACTAGATATGAAAATTATTTTTCTTGGGAAGCTTTACAGTTTTAATGCATAGATTTTTCATTTTGTACTTGTTGTAAGATTTGATACATGATCTAAATAGTATATTGGGTATTACCCTGGCAGTTCTTGATTCACAGAATAAGAGGGGAGGAATAGGGATGTTGAGAAAAATAGAGGTAATAAGAGCGGGATATTTATTCTGGAATTTCTTTCTGTAGAAATATTCAATCAGATAGCACAGTGTGGGATGGCAAGGAGAGATGGGGGAGCAGGGAGCTTTTCCTGTTTACCCTCTCATCACACCCACAGTGCAGCAAACGATCAAGAGGTTTTAGAGCCACGTTTTCATGATAGCTGGCAAGTTTCTCTTTCTATCCCAAGACATGAGGTATGAGAAGGAAGATCTGGCTCCTCCTCTCTACTCTGAGCAAATTAGAAGAATAGCTCTAGTCTGGAGATGTATAACACTCTTTTGGCACAGCTATAGAGAGACATGGTAAAGCAGTAATGTATGTAGAACTCAGTGAAGGAATGAGTTTTTGTGAATTTCAGACTGAGAGTGTGTATCAGAAATTTCAGGATAAAAGAACAATCCCATAACATTGTGAGAGTTTAAAAATATGAAGCATTTTTAACCTTAGAGAATCTGAGTTCAGGGTGAATATGCAAGACCTCTCCAAGTGCAGAAATGTTACAACTGAAACCTAAAATTTTTACTGTGTAAATATGCTCATGGTTATCTCATCTGTATTCTCTCTGATTAGCTACCCTTTGTCTTTAAACAGTTAATTAATAGATGTGGTAATAGATTGGTAATAGGTAGAGTAATAAAGCCAACCTATTGAGCCATGCAGAAAACAACAATGCAGTAAACTCATTGTTGTCTCAGTTCTACTTTAAGTTTCCTGCCTTCAGGAACCACAATGTATCTGCAACTTAACACAGAATTTGACTTGCCTACAAGGTGCCTATATCGAGCCCTAACACAGTATTTAAGCACCTGATTCTACTCAAAGATTTTATTTAAAATCTCTAGCTACATCAAGGAAGAAATTATAGTATAAATTAATTTAAAAAGGATTATCTGACCTCTCAGTTTAGATAGACAGATATACTGATAGATAGATCCATTACTAGATAGTTATAATTTTATTATAATTATTTTCATAGCCCTAATATTATTTTCTTAACCTTTTCTTCCCACTAGATATGTTTACATTAAAAGGAAATGCCAATGGAAAGCCCTGTGTATTCCCTTTCAAATACAAAGACAAACAGTACAATGAGTGTACAGATGCTGGTAGGACAGATGGCTGGCTGTGGTGTGCAACAACTGCAGATTTTGATGCTGATAAACTTTATGGATTTTGCCCACTAACAAGTAAGTCCTCCATTTTATTTATTAACTTGTCATGAAATGTTGAGCAAACTATCTCTTGAGCTACCAGGTTCTTCTTGAGCTATCAGCTACATACCTGTATGACATACCATGTCAGAGTAGCCCATAGTTCATCTACACACTTACTTTCCTCCTCTGACTTCACCCTGGAATCTCATTTTTCCAATTAACAGATATGTCTGGTATACCTAGTATTGCATTTTAATTATGAGAAAATTAAAAAACGAATCTTGGAAAACAATTCACTCCTGTATAAAAACCTAGAAACTCAAAATAATGGTTTTGATTTCAAAAGCATTGCACATTTTTAAAAATTGATGCCTAGACTAATTTTTTTTTCTGATGCTTACAGTTAACAGTGTGCATCTTTAGATATTTTGCATCATTACGCACTTCATTTTCTTTCAGTTGGTGCAATGTAAATCCACTAGAACAGTGCTCTATGTCACTTCTTCTTCCAGATGACACAGAAAGATTTTGGACAGAAGATGTTTCAACTGGCATTCACTATCAGATAAACTCAGAATCAGCTCTAACATGGCACCAAGCAAGGAAAAGCTGTCAGCAGCAAAATGCAGAACTACTAAGCATCACAGAGATTCAGGAGCAAGCATATGTAAGAGGTAAAAAGGTAGAGAACAAGTTCTTAAAATATGCTGTGATAAAGGTGATACTTAGTTGTCTGTCTCAGCAAAGAAGACAGGGTGTCAGGGGTGCTTCAGCAGCCACCAAAAGGGGGATGGTCTGAACTGCCCTTCCACTAGATGGTGTTTTTTTTATGAAAGGTTGGTCACAAACCTCTGTGGGGAGGAAGAGCCCCCATCCCAGCTTTGTGCTGCAGATGGGAGCTCCTGCAGCTTCTGCGGTCTGTCCCAGGGGAGGGTTTCCTCTGCTTGCCTCAGTGAAAGGGCACTCATTCCTGAGCAGGGCTATGGTCTGGTCCTCAAATTCACCTTTTTCCTCTGAGTTTCAAGGATTATTAATCTTTTCAGGAGATCAAAAGATGATAGATAGATTGGTCCTAGTATGGGTACGTTTGCATATTTAAATTCCATATAATTTTGGTGGATTTCAGATACAGGTATCATGGTATCCATTTGGTTATAAATAGTGTAAAGGAGGCTTTGAAACCACTCACATTGAAAAAAGTCTGGAATCAACTGATTGGAACACTGTTGTCGTCTTTTACTCCATGAATATAGTACATTTTAGTACAATTCCCTAATGAAAATCAGATGTTTTCGACATCTCTTATATTGTAATGAAAACAAGTAAAAGAAATGAACTCTTATTTACTTAGTGAAATAGGATGTTAATTTGCCCTTTTAACTAATGAGATCTTCACTAAATTATTACAGATTCATTTACATATTTTACTTTTTGTAATCTGTGCATCTCATTAATGCAGAAAGTACTGATTTGGGGCTCGTTTCAACTAAGAAATATGAATTTCTTACTTTTGACGTAACTTACTAAAAATGAGAATAGGGACGTAAAACTGAGTTGATTTTTTTGTTTGTTTTTGTTTTGTTTTGTTTTGTTGTGGTTTTTTGTTTGTTTTTGTTTTTTGTTTTTGTTTTTCAAATTTAGAGCTAACTAAAAATTTTGGTTTTGCATTCTGGATTGGATTGAACACTTTGAATTTTGACAGTGGATGGCAATGGGCTGGGGGTAGCCCTTTCAGATATTTAAACTGGGCTCCAGGTAAGAACTATGCCTATTTTGTAATCTTTGAATGGATTCTGATAAGACATTAACAAATAAGAACTGTCTTAGCTACCTTTGTTTCAGGAAAGCTCATTCTGATTTACAACAACTATTTAAGAATTGCACTTTCAAATTCAAAGTTCACAGTGGATATCAGCTATAGCATATTATTCTATTTCCTAATCTAAACAGAGAGCTTTTTTTGAAAGCAGAATATCCTATGGAGTGATATTCAACCCTACACATCAAAGATCAGAATTTTCCATAACATGTTGGCCAAGGGTATGCATATCAATCAAATCTTCCAAAGGTAGCAAAATATTTAAAAAATAAGGGCACTATGTTTTCCGTAGAAATTCTAAATATTATTGAGAGGCTTATGGAGCCAGGTCATAATCCCTCAGCAGTGCATGCAAAATTGCACTGGGCCACCATGAGGAAGGGAGATGGAATGGGTTTGTGGTGCTCCTCATAGCTAGGGAGTTCTTCTCTTTGCTCGTTGGCTTTTTTGGTTCTGTGTTTCCTTTGTGCCATGAGCATTCCAAGCCACCTCCTAGTTTGGAAAAATTATGGGGTGGTAAAGGAATAATTAAAATCTCCTCTAAATTTTCAAATATTCTGTATCAGGAAATTCAATTTGCTGATTGCAGAGGTTTGCACACACTGCAACAGAAGTGAGAAAAAATATTGCATAGGAATGTGAAACTCTTGAGATATATTGAAAGGACAATATAACTTAAAACTCAGGATTTCTAAAGTTGGGAAGTTTTTGACAGAGGCTAAAGTTATAGTTTCAGCTGTTCTTCCTGCGAGCACTGGGATGTCAGGAAAAGAATTAGAAATTTCCCAGTGCTATCCTGACAAAAAGGTCGATGGAGGGTCATTATTTCACTCTCCATGCACAGACTAAAAATAGCATCCAAAAAACTACGAGGTGGTTACCCTATAGGGAAGGGCTTCATCATAATAATGATTCAAGGTTTCTACTGGTAATATGATGTTTCTGTTAATTTTTTTAATTTTCTTTGCTGTGAGACCCTATTTTCTCTCTGACTCAAAGGTAGTCCTTTCCTACTCCCTGGGAAAATCTGTGGAGTGTTGAACCCCAGAAAGAATGCTAAATGGGAAAACCAAGCATGTAACCAGAGACTAGGCTACATTTGTAAAAAGGGTATCTTCAGTTCAAAGCCTGACATTATATCCAAAGGTAGGTTGGTAAAACAAAAAGAAAGGTTTTTCTCTGACTCCTAGAAAGAGCAACTTGTAAAGATCAGCAAATAGTAAAATGTATGCAACAATATTTTTCAACCAAGATGTTAGAAACCTTTGGAAAATACAACTATACATGACACAATCTTTTATATACTGCCTTTGTCTTCCCGTTGTGTATTAAACATTCATAGGAGAATATTACTGTTTTGTTCCATCACTCCATCATTTATTCTTCCAAGACAGATGAAAGCTGCCCTGTCATGGTAACCAATGCCAAAAGGTAAATTTGCATATATACAATAGAAGTGTTATTCTCATTTGCTCCAAATAAGTAATTGCAGTTACTCATATATTCCAAAGAAAAAAGATTTCTCATCTGATGTCAACAGTATGCAATTGGTTGGGTTCCTACAAGCACAGCAAGAGCAGCAACAGTGTTGACACAGACCTTGTTGCATTTGTGGGCCATCCCAACACAACAGCATGGTAATGAACATGTCCCGTGCAGGAGGGATCTACTGGAAACCATCATCTGGGGATGTTATAAAAGCTACTGTAAAAGAAAAAGTTATATTAAAGAAAGTAGAGAAATAACTTCAGAAAATCTTTATTGCAGTGTTAACCTTAAAAAGAAATGCAGGATTCTATTTTTAAAGTAAGCTTAATGTAAGTTTTTAGGAATCTAAGTAATAAAAAAGCCACTAAGTTAATATGCAATGTACCGAGTCTCCACTAATTTTTAAAGTTCAGTGACCTGCAATTACCAAAGAATTACTTCATACTCTTCCATATCTGACAAGTATGTGTTTGCAAGAAACCATCAAACAGCAGGCAAAGCCCAGTGTCAGCCACTGCAGGCAGCACAGAAACCACGACACACTGACCAAATGTCTCTGAGGGACAAAAAGGGGAGATGCTGATGTCTGCCTTGGTCTCTCTTTCTTCCCAGAGCATTATTTCAAATTGCACCGCCCACATAATATGAGCATTTTTCAATGGTTCTCTGTTTAGGAAGAAATCTTTCTATTTGCATATTTAGCATACTGTGCCTTAATGATATTTGAACATATTTTGCATTGCCAACTACAGCTTTATATTTATTCATCTAGTCCCAATTTTGTAAAGAGTACTTGAGAGACCCCTTTCTAGCGTCTTCTATTTTTCTCTTGTTTTGAAAAATTGTTCTCGTATTTTAGAGAAATTGAGGCCTGTTAAGTGCACAGATGGTTGGTGGCCATATGCAGGTCACTGCTACAGCATTCAAAGGGACCCCAAAACATGGAAAGATGCTCTGACTTCATGTAAGAAGCAAGATGGAGATTTGGCAAGTGTCCACAACATTGCTGAATACAGCTTTCTAGTGTCCCAGCTTGATTACAGTGAGTATATATGTAGGCCTATAGTGGGATTGCCCCATCTGTAACATAAAAGCTGAACTTCACATTAAATACTAATGCTTCCTCTAAAATATCATAAGTGGAAGGCTGAATCTAACTTATTGTGCTCTTTTATGATGTTGCTGTTGCATAAACATGGAAGCATATTTATGTTTATCAAGAAATAATCTACATTGTAAAACATTATAAAGGAGGAGAGGAAAACCACAGCAAAAAAAACGTATTCCTCCCAGAGACACATGAAGATCTCTAAAGATTGCATTTTTAGCACCTATGTTCTATGTTCAATGACTTCAGAACAGAGCTCCAAACCTAGGAGATAAATTTCTTGCTGAGATTAAAACCTCTTTCTGAGGCTAACCTCTTGCTAGACATCCTTCTAAGGAAACAATGTCTTTTCACTTCTGATATTCCTTGGGTTTGCAGTAACCAGTCCTGACATGTGCTGCAGATGCTGGCCTTGGTGAACACACCTGATGGGCCAATACAAGTTCTCCAAGGCTTCCCTAATAAGGAGATGTTCTGACAGGTGTCTTCGTGGCTTGGACTCAGTATTATCTCATGAGAGGTGGGACACTTACGGCCACTCACTGTCTCCATGCTCAAGACCATTTTGTTCTGAATCACAGAAAGTTTGCAAAAATCTTCCGCCGGCTGTAAAGAACCTTGTGTTAATTAAACTCAGCATTTCTCAGTGGCATCTGATGCTGTTTCAGAAGATATCTTTTACAGATCAGAGAGGGAAACAGCATTTTTATTAAAGCACAAATACTACCTCTTGTGTACCACATCCCAAATTTATCAGTCCCTGCTTGTTCAGCATATGAAAACATTTACAGCACAGTGGATAGTAAGCAGAGCTATTTCTTGTCATGCTTCAGGGCCAACAGAAGAGCTATGGCTGGGTCTGAATGACCTGAAGACTCACTTCTATTTTGAGTGGAGTGATGGGACTCCTGTGACGTTCACCAAATGGCAACGCAGGCATCCCACCTACTGGAATGGTCTGGAGGACTGCGTTGTTATGAAGGGGCAGGTATGTGCATGCAGTCATTTTTTAGTAATGCAAATTAATAACTACATCAGCCTGAAATCACTTACATTGTATGCTTATTTACATATAATTTTTTATCTTAGCTTTAAATAGTTTTCCTCCAAAATTTGGCATCAACCAGAAGAAAAGTTCAGAGGTCAGGAGGGATCAGGAAGAGAGAGGCAGCATTTTGCTAGTGCTGCCTTCTAAAATTCCTTATCTGGTGAAAAGTTCAATCCAGAAATTTCACCTTAGATTCTTTCCCTTGATTGCAGCAAAGAAAGAATTTACAGCTCTGGGAGAGGAATGGGAATGAACTAGTTAATACCTTATGTGAGTACCTTAGATGCTATTTGTATGCCTCAGATTTCAAGCCAATAGACCATTATGTCGCTCAATGTCACATCACTGAGACACAGTTTTGAGGCGTGGAGACCTGGCACCAGAGCATGTTTCTTCAGCTGTCACCTCCCTGTCAAATAACTAATGTAAAATTCTATACTATTTCTGACTCAGATGTATTTGACTCAGAAACTTTATTTTCTTGCAAAACATAGTTGCTTGGTACATGTACATGCATGTGCATGCACACAAAAAAATGTGTAATGAATTTTGAAATAAACAGATTGAAAATGCTGGTATGAAAGACATGCTGTTATTGAAAGAACTGTTATATCATAGAATAATGTTAATGTTTGCCAGGATTAGGCATCAATAGAATTGATCCTAAACCAGATTTCATGGGGGGAAAAGGCTCCTATTTTATTTTATACATAGTCTTTTTTTTTTTTTTAAAGTCCTCAGTCATATTCAGAGTCTTTGATGGATAAAATAGACTTACTGCAACCCTATCAGATGTGCATAATTTCAGTTTAACTGATCTCTTTTCTAGAAGTGTAGTGAAATAATCCTACTTTAAAAGCAGATCCCTTAGCCCCGGATGAGATGCTTGTTTACAAACTTTCTCATTAAATAGTTATGATAGGAAGAAATGCTGAGATTTAAAAGTATTATTTATTTCGTTCTTTCACCTCAAAACAGCATTAAAAGGATCTTAAATCAATACTAACAGATGTGTCTATTTTTTTTAATAACTCTCCAATCGGCCTTGTGAAGAAAGAGGAAAAACACTGGTTATGTTTATAAATGCCCTTTTTTACATTTGTTTCTTCTCACTACTATTCTAGGATGGATACTGGGCAACTGATGTTTGTGATAAGCAACTTGGTTACATCTGTAAAAAGAAGCCTTCATCACAATCCTCTGAAAAAGAGACAGTTGAGGACCCAGGCTGCCAGAAAGTAAATGCTGTCTCATAAATAATAATGTTAGGAAAAATGTGCAAAAGTTAATTTACTGGTTCTTTCTTTTGGATACTGTATTTGTATCTTCTAGAAAATCTACTCTTAAGGAAACTTAATCTTTTCCTGGTAGCAACTTACTAATATATGAGCATTTTTCATTTTTGTTCTGAAAAATCTCAAGAAAGTCAAGATTCATTTATATGTATATTCATGTACATGAATACTGCCTTTCCCTCTATTTCCAGATAAGCCACCCTGTGATTCAGAAAACAATTTTATCTGTTTTGGTCATCACAGTTCTCTCTAAGAGCAGGGAGAAATAGGGGTGTTTTATTGATATTCTTCTTTTCTACACTCCCTACAAACAAGCACTGTCTGGATTCCTCTTGGCTCAGAAAATCTCACCCTTTGCACTTGGGGATGGCAGGGGCAGTTTTGGGAGGCTATGCTTGTATGTGAATTTACTTCCATATTGCAAAAATTTTGTATTTCACTTTATCTGATCCTGCAGCTCTGGAAAGCTGGAGTTGCAGGTCCCCCTGAATGAATCATGGGCTCCTCACAGGCTCAGTTTGTCTAATCCTACCCTTACAGAACACTGCAAAGCAATAGCAAATATCACAGTCACAATTTTCTTTGAAAATTCATGTACATGTAAAAGAGAAGAAAACTAAGATCTTAATGTCATCCCTTAAACAAAAAAAAGCCTCCTGTAGGAGTGAACAGCACCAAAAATAGCTTTTATTTATTAACAGATTGGCCCAGTCTCATCTTGGTTTTAAGTTCAGCTGCATGGAATATTTATACACAGAAGAGCAGAACAACTTCTACACTGAAGTCTCTTTCCATTGGACATTAAAAATCTTGTGTTTGTCACAGGGTTGGAAAAGATATGGTTTTCACTGTTACTTGGTGGGTTCTGCACTTTTGACATTCTCAGAAGCAAATAAGACATGTGAACAGAGCAAAGCTTATCTAGCTACGGTGGAAAGCAGGTGGGAAAATACTTTTATAATATAAAAAAATCACTGCTTTTAATGGAGAAACTTGCAAAATTTATCCATTGTTTGAATCCTTTAAATTATTTTACCAGCACTTTTCAAAAAATTTTATAGTAGTAGGCCAAATAAAGATTATCCATGCATGAAAAAAACCCCAAACCAAACACCCTAATGTTTTAGGGCTTTCTATTTAATCTATTATAGCAGTTTTCAAATTTGGAGGGTTCTTGACTTAAACAGTTTTCTGTTATCTTTCAATTAATAATTAAAGCAACTTGTGGTTTTGGTGAGGGGTTTTTTGGTTGTTTTGGGGGTATTTGATTTTTTGTGTGTGTTTGGTTTTGGTTTTTTGTGGGTTTTTTCCTCTTTTTTCTGTTTTCTTTTCATCTACTTGTTGACAGGTGTTCTGGCATTATGAAAGGAAAGCTTTAATAGAGTGTTTTCCTAACCTACATTCTAAGCTAAATTCTGAACAAATGTGGGAAGTCTTCCCCAGGACCTGCCCCCTCCTGCAGCCAGAATGTGTCATTTCTAACCTACCCACATCTCAGCCAGGCTTTGCAAGCTTCATGGCCTCTGAGGAACACGACTGCCTGCAGAGGAGATGGCTAGCAAAACTGACAGCTTGGTCCTATCTTGGTTGTCTCTTTGAGGCACCTCAAAGATTTGGCAAGACAATGAAAATAGTAGAATACAACTAGAAACCCATATAAGCAGCGATCTGTGACCTTTCAGATGCCTTCAGCTGAAAGAAGAAAGTTGTCCCTCATGAAATTCTTTCAATTGCAGTTTAAAGTCTGCTGAGGTTTTGCCTGAACTTCACTGAGGTGCTGTGCTTCGGGATCACATTAGCATACCTCTGTATCAATTCGATCAATACTGAAAGGTAGCAGGTTGTGATTTAACTCTGTTTTCCGCTACAGAAATGAGCAAAACTTTCTGGTTAGTCTGGTGGGTCTGAGGTCTGAAAAGTATTTCTGGATTGGTCTCTCTGACACAGAAGAACGAGGGAGTTTCAGGTGGGCCAATGGTGAAACTCCTCACTTCACACACTGGAACAAAGCAATGCCAGGTAAGCTCTGCATGGACTCAAACCCTGTGACAGGAGTGCAGCTGCAACTCACATGGGTTTTTGCTTTCGATCCACTGGAGTTAGAAATTAGAGTGGGCACTGTGTTTTGTGCCTGTAGCTGTAGGTGGCTCACACCTGTGTTTGACACCAGTGCAACAAGCACTGTCACAGCTGAGTGTCAGGTGTTGGTGTAAGTCAACCTCCTGCAAAGTTGTACAGAAACAGATTTTTAATAGGTTAGGCTGAAGGCAGTGCTGTGCAGGAGTTAACAAGCTCCATGGTCTCATTTTTTCCAACTTTTTTCACCTCCAGTTAACAACTCATCAGATTTAGAAAAAATATTCTGGACAGTTTTTTGACCCACAAGGTGCATGTGTGATAAATGAGCAGCAAACATCCAGCTGTTTTGCATTGCATGCAGATTACCATCTGTGTGGGAGCTCTTGCCTTCAAACCAGCTAGTTATGCCTTAAAACAAACCTGTTGTACTTGGTATCAGTCTTCTTGAAATTGAATTACGAGGATAGTACTCCAAAGTAGTTGTCAGATCATCTATTACATATGCAAATATAATCAAGAGCCATTTGCCCTGTGATTTCCCTGGAGTGGCAAGATAAGGAAGATTTGTTTTCTAAAGCTACAAATCTCTGATTTTGGCAAAGCTGTATCTGTGAGACTCATTGGCCCATATCTGGCCTCTGGCAGGAGGTATAAGAATAGTTTTGTATCCAGGACGTTTTTTTAATCTGCGTAATCTGCATCTTCCCTTCCATGATTTGCTATGAGTAAAACCATAGGTATCATTCCTTAGAAAGCAATTAAGGCTTGGTTTTACTCATTTTGTTTCCATATCACAAAGGAAAAGAGCAAGGGTGTGTTGCCATGGGAACTGCAGCTGGATTATGGGATGTTGTTAGCTGTGAGAAGACATCAAATTATCTTTGCAAACAGCGGGCAGTGGGAGTGCCACCTCCTGCTCCTCCAGGACAGGTCCCTGTGGCCGTCTGCGCCGAAGGTTGGGATGGAGCCTCCCAGGCAGACTCGTGCTTCAGAGTAAGTGTGTGTGTGTCTCCCTGCACTGCAAGCCTGAGCATAGATTACTGTGATGCTGGGGCATTTTTTGGGAATGATCTTCTCTTTCATATTCAAGGACAGAAAAAAAAAAAAAAAAAAGAGAAAAAATCCATCAAATATAACAAAAGTCAAAAATGGAAAAGGATGAACACAGAATGCTAGAAATATGCTTTCTTTTATCTAAATGCCAAATGAGAACCTCACCTAATTTATTTGCTTCCAGGAGTTTCAAACTTCAGCAAAAACTTAGTATTGCATCTCGAGAACTGGCAGTGTTACTTGCAAAATACAGTGTTTCTAGGAAAAAACATGCCCTTTTGCCAACCTTTTCTCACACAGCAGGCAAAACTGTTAGTGACATTTTTAGGTCCAGGTTTAGCTGGTGACTCTTCAGCAAGTAAAGCTTTTGAGCATTCTCTTGATTTAACTTAAAATGCCTTCACAAATTAAAAAATGGAGAAAGAAAAGGCAAAATAAATCAAGGAAAAATAAATATACAGCATTGCTCTTCCAGGTCTTTATATATGTATCCTTTCACTTTCTTGAGACTCTCTGCCTGTTGGGAGGCCAGAGCTGATTTTAGTTCTGTATTTACAAGGGTCTCAGCTTCTGTGTCATGCCTGAATATCATTATATTGGTTCTGCCAGTTACCAAATTGTTGATTATCCTTTCCATAAAATGTCAAGCATGTTAAGCATGTCCTTAGTTCAAGAATGTATGTACTTCATGGCAAAAAGTGCAGCTATTTGTGTTTGCACCACCAAAAACCTCTCCCTCAGCCATGGTCCACACTCTGCCAAATAGATTTCTCCATCCATACTATCTTTTCTATTCCAAATTATTGACTTTCCCTTCACCTTCAATTTCTCAAAAATCTCCTTCTTTCTACTGTGAAGTGTCATAGCTAAAGCTTTTCCATCTTTCTTTGAGCCTTTCAGTGGTCAAAGTTCCAATGAGACTATAGACTATTTTTTCTCCTCTGTACATTCTGATAGCTTTTGTTCTCCTCAGATACTGCTCTTGGCTTATTTTAAAAGAGATGATGCTAAGAAAAAAAACTTAAACGTCACATTTCTAATGTTTAATATTAAAGGTTTTGACAGATGTTTTGTTGTTTCACTCAAGAATAAAGGGGTGCTAAAATGATACTGATTTTAATTACACATATTTTATATGCTTTGCACATTTAGCAATTTATTTTTACTTTTTGTTCTCAATAGTTTTTTGTGAGAGAGGGAAACCAAAAGAAGTCTTGGTTTGAGGCTGAAGAATTCTGTAGAGAAATAGGTGGAAATCTGGTCACAATCAATACAAGAGAAGATCAAGTTTTATTATGGCAATTAGCATCGTGAGTACTTGCAGAACAATTCTTTCTCATGTTCCTGCTATGTTAAATACAAAATTCCTTAAAATGTGTCTGGAGCTGAGCAAGAGGCTGAGCAAAGCAAAGAGGCTTTGATATTTTTGAAATTTTCATCACAGGTTTTTATCAAGGCTGTTGTCCAGATCTGATCAACTTTTAACAAGTTAGTCCCTCTGCCAAAAGGGAGAAAATAAAATATTCAGCTCTGTGGTATTTTCTAACTGGCTGTAATTCATACTTTATCCAACTCATTCAAAAAAACCCTTGAGCTACTGTGTAATGTAAATCAAAATGCAAGGACTTAATGTGGAATTTTTCTGACTATAAACTGAAGACTCCTGAAATTAGTGATTAGTTTTAATTAATTTTTTATAGCACTGTAGATGTCATGTCTTGCTCACGATAAGCTATGACATTATTCCCCCCAAATTAGATCACTATTATGATCGTATTCCATAATACTGACATCTCAATGACATATAATATAAAGCTAGTTAACCAAAAGTGTTTAATATAGTGGTGAATCTAGGTTTAGTTTCTCAAATAGATAAAAAACTATCATATTGAGAAGTTTTTGTGATCTCACCTTTCTTCATTTTAATATATTTCAGTATTGTGAGAAGCTGAATGTGGTTTTATTTGTCTGTTAAGTCTCTTTGCTTCAGAGCATGAAATCTTTGTGGAAGGAAACCTTTGTAATTATGCAGGGAATGAAATTTGGTTCATAGGTATGACAAGATAAATAGCATGAACTATTAAATAAACTACTCAGGAATTTCCAAGAAGCAAATCAAAGCAGTTGAAAAGCATTTTTCACTATTTTTTATTAGGTAAATTGTATTATAACTCTCTATTGATGTTTTACTTTTGCTAAAGCTTCCGTCTTTGAACTCATACTACAGTCAAGAGCTTTGTTGCAGCCACAGGCATGGGAGCCTGAGCTGGCTCTGTGTCACATCACTTGTCCTTTAACTAATACTCAAAGATGGCAAGACTGGGCCCAGTACAGAGCACTATCAAACACCCTGACAGAATACTGGGGATAAGCTTGGCTATGGGCCACAGCTCCCAGTTCAAGTGTGACAGAAAGTACCATGTCTGTGCTTTCCAGCATTTATATCATGGCCTCTCTTTCTACACTCATAACTCTATATTGTCTGAATTATTTTAGGGATAAAGGACTTAACACTCAGGCTTTCTGGATTGGTTTGTTTCTCTTAAATCCTGATGAAGGATTTGCTTGGATTGATGGTTCCCCTGTGAGTATTTATTTGCTGACTTATATATAGATCTTCATCTTTTTAATGTCTTCTTTTGCAATCTCCTTAAATCTTCATCAGGTACACGGCAACCCTTTATTCAGCAGCTAAATTCATAGAATCATAGAATAGAATCATAGAATAGATTGGGTTGGAAAAGACCTCCAAGATCATCAAGCCCAACCCCTGATCCAACTCCAATTACTATAGCATGGCACTAAGGGCCACATCCAATCTCTGCTTAAAAACCTCCAGGGATGGTGAATCCACCACCTCTCTGGGTAGGCTGTTCCAATGCCTGATTACCCTCTCCGTAAAGAATTTCTTCCTAACATCTAACCGAAACCTCCCCTGGCAGAGCTTGAGCCCATGTCCTCTTGTCCTAGAATTGTTCCAATGCCCTGTCTTAAGGCACTAATGGAAGTACAGAGTTACCTCTGTTTCATCCCTGGTATCATGTTACATCCCATCTTAAACAGTCTGTGCTCTTAGACCTTCACAGCATCCCAAAACAGACACTGCTGTATAGCAGTACAGGAAGCCAGGTCGCCAACATTCACAAAGCGGGATAAACCCATAAGTTTTTCTGTCGTCGGCTTTTCTATACCATGTGATCTTTGCACCTTCTTCAGGGAGTGAAACTCAGTTGATTAGCATGACTTTCACAGCCCTCTCAGACTTATTTGAACTTCTGTTGATCCCATAAACAAGGTACTTGAGATGATGAGATACTGAAATTGTGTTATGCTGGCAGTCTCAATTACTTCTGCTCAGCTCAAATCACATAGTAATTGATATGTATTTCCAACACAGGTAATTTATGAGAACTGGGATGAAGATGAACCCAACAACCATGAAGAACTTGAACATTGTGTTATGTTTAGTAGATCACCCAAAATGCGCTGGAACGACTTACGCTGTGAACGTTTACTTAATTGGATTTGTGAAACAAAAAAAGGTATATTACTTCCTCATTTAACTGGAGCAATAAACCCAAGTTTTAAAAGCAAATTTTATGGATTCAAACAAATTGAAAGGAAGAAAATTCTTGGAATTGTTCATTTTAAAACCAGTTATAGTGAAGGCAGCACATTAGGCAAGAGGAATGTATTGAGCTATTTCAATTGTACTCAGATGCAGGAAGTTAAAAATGTCCCTATTACTTTATCTCTGGCTTTATCTCCTTCTGTCATGGACTGAATAAATTTGCAAAGCAAAGGTATTTTCCCCTCTCCTTTTATCTCCTCCCTGTATTTCTATCTGCTTTAGGCATACCCAGGATACCCAAAGATGCAAGAATTAGAGTTCTCTGTACAAAAGAAACAAAAGCTTTGCTTCCCACTGTGAAACAAATAATGGGAACTAAAGAGAGGGATCAGTTGCTGTAGGAACTGGAAACTCTGCAAAGCTGATAAAAAAGAGAGTCTGGTGCAACCCTGATGGACTCCTGCATCCACCAGCTTTGCTTGGAAAGCAAGTTCCCAACACCAGGACTCCCAAAACTGGCACCAGGGTCATAAAACAGACTTGGCTGATGTCTTTTGGGGTATCTGTCAGCGGGAAATAGAGTCTGCATGGGCTGAAGACCACAAGTGACAACTGATAATGAAAGAACTTGTTCTGCTTACCCAGTCCTATTTCTACCTCCCAGTTGTAAACTGAGTATTTGTGTGCATCTCTATGGAGAAGGAGATTCTTACAAGCTTCTTGAAATGAAAAGGAAGTTGGATGCACACAGAGATCTAGTAGGAGGCACAATAGGGAGGGAAAGGGATAAGCAGTTATATAAAAAACACTGAGTACGTCTAATACTTGATTACTCTGCCAACAAACCATTACCCTCAAAGGGTGAACAAGGCACCATGGTAACACTGAAAAATTGCTTAATCGAGAGGGAAGAATCACTGTTCCCTTGTGGGTGGATTAGTCACACAAATGCACCATTCAAACACTGATTTCTGCACACGAGCTCGAAGCAGCACATCCTCTGCAGGTCTTATCTGGTGTGCTGAACTTGCTGCTTTATACAGATGTGGTTCTCTGCTCTTGGTGAGATTACTCACAAGGATTTCAGAAACCATGACACAAAAACTCTGATCAGTTTATCTTGATCCTAGATGACCTTTCAAAAGCAAGAAAAATTAAAGAAATTGATCTTGTTATTATGAGTCCAGATTATATGGTGATCAACATGAGAGAAGACATGCTCAGATGTTAATTCCCTCATATTCACTTAAGACACATATTTACATAAGATACTCCATTTTCCAGAAAACCAATGAATGCATGTGAATATTTTACTACTACGTAGATAAACTTTAGAAATTACTATATTAGCTGGATTATGTTTTTTGGCTATAGTCCCAAGAATATAAAAAAAAGTTAATCATAACATATCAAGAGAAATGCTAAAATAATTTTTCATCATAAAGTCAGTTTACCAAGAGTTTACTGTGCATTCTGGATTGTTTAAGTCAGTGCTTTTGGTCATACATATATGTACTGTAAAATACAAGTTTTTCACTAGCTATCTGTTTCTAAATTATACACATAATATGGTGGTAAGTGCTCTAAATGCTTGAAAATGCTTTAGCATAATTCATTGTTTGTTTGTTGAATATTTTTCCCTCTATTATACAAAGCATGTTAAACTACATAAAGCACATCCCACTGTTTTGTTTTGGTTTTTTTTTTTTTGTATTTGAAATGTTGCTCATAATGATCTTTTATTTTACAGGTACACTGCTAAAACCTGAACCAGATTACAAACTTGGTAGGATCCTTTCCTCTTTCAAAAAATTGTACATTTTCAGACTTTGCACAGACCACATACAAATGTATTGTATATGATTCTTTACCTTTCAGAATATCAATCCACCAGTGATGGATGGATTATATATGAAGATAAACAGTACTATTTCAGCAGAGAACATGTCCACATGGAAGAAGCACGGAGGATTTGTCAGAAGAACTGTGCAGATCTTGTTGTCATTGACAATGAAAGCAAAAGACAATTTCTATGGAAATATGTAAGCACTAAGCCTATTAATTGTAACTGAATTTTGAAGCAGAGCAGATGATAAAAAGAACAGTCTAACTATTCGGCAAGGCTGGAGTCCTGAGCTATTGTCCTGCATTATTTATTTATAGAACAATAGACTTGCTCAGGACCTGCAAAGAAGTTACTGCTGTTTTTAATAGGTAGAGAAAAATGGCATGTAAACATTAAAGGTGCAGCAAAGGGTAGTTCAGGCCCAGGTTGCTTATCTCTTCTAATATAGGTAGTATTCAGCACAGTGATTATTGCTTTCCTGTCCAGTGAGTTCCTTACTCCAGGATGTTCCACATATCCCTGTTGCCCGCTTGAAATCTGTGTCTAAACCTGTATTATTCTTACCTGAGGCTCAAATCCTGGGGAAAAGAAAAAAAAAAAAAAGAAAATAGGAAAAACTAAACACAGGCATGGTTAATTGGCTTCCAGGTTTTTGCTTGATGTTGAGGAAGAATTTAGTGCTTAACTCTTAATTATTTTTGTTTTAGAGCTACACAAAACACAAATGGAAATCATATTTCATCGGCTTAGTTGTCAGCTTTGATAAGAGATTCAGGTGAGTAAAGGAAAACTGGTAATGGACAACAAATGATGGTAATTTCATCTTGCTCTTAGGCAGCATTTGTGTGTGGTTTTGTTTTACAGTATAATCACTGTTGTGCAACTGACCTCTGGATAGTTTTCAGGAGATGTCTTATAGAAGAAGTGTAACACTCTTCTATATTTAAGCAGAGCAATGTCTTTTTCTTCTAAATTTGGGAGAGCAAAACCAATAGAAGTTCATGGCTGACTCATTTCACTTAATGTCTTGCACTGAAAGAACTGAGTTAAACACCCAAGCAAACCCACATAGGTACTGAGGAGGGGCAGCTCATTTTAAGATGTTATTCACCCAATTCACTTTAGACATCAGCCTAAGGATGAGGTTTACTCTGACCAGATTTCCAATGTCTGAGAAAGCCTGAGAAAGCCTAGGAAGTTTTGATAACAAGTATATAGAAATGTTTAATCAGATTAATCTCAGTAGTTCAAGTTATGTGTGCTGGAAGCAAGAAGCGTAAGCAACTTCTCATCCAACAGACTTTCTGAAATTTCTGGTAGAGAACCTGCCTTAACGATCTATTTGTAGAAGACTTTCAGGAGGACACCTTTCTGTGATGAAAGGGAAGTCCGTGGACTGCTGATGGGCCTTAAATGTGACAGTACTAAACAGATGAAAGGCAGCAGTAATGCCGGGGCTATGTCCTCTCTGGGATACATACAGCCTTCACCCTCTGGTCACTGCTGATACCTTGCTTAGCCCTCTGCCTAAGCAGACCTTGTGACTGACTGCTGGAGTTGTCTGTTTGGCAGCCACTGTCCCCTTGTTTCTTCCAGATGGCTGGATGAGACACCAGTGAACTATGTTGCCTGGGCTCCAAATGAACCCAATTTTGCAAATAATGATGAAAACTGTGTGATAATGTCAGAAGATTTTGGTGAGTAAAATGGCAACAAGAAACATTTGGGTAAAAATTTAGCATCAAAATCTGAAATGTTTGGTATGTATTTAAATTAAATTGGAGGCTACTGCAAAAAGAGGTAGTTCAAAACACTGACAATTTTTCATAACAAACATGCTGTGGTTTGAAATTGTGCCATCACTATTAGGAGACAAACATACTGCAGAGGAAGGAGGAGTGTATTTGGGTAAATATATTTAATTTGTGCTTTATGAATGCTGTCTTGGGTACTGTCATAGTGATGGTACCAGAGTTTCTCAGTAATCTGTACAATAATTATCTGGATTCTGTTTCTTTACAGGCTTTTGGAAAGATATAAGCTGTGGTGTGAAAAATGCCTTTATCTGTGAAAGACATAATTCAACTTACACAGGATTTGCTCCTACTGTACTTCCACCTCTGGGAGGATGCCCTGAAACTTGGCTTTTGTTTAACAATAAGGTGCAGTAATAAATTTCTGCCATATTTAGCACATTTGCTATAGGTGAAGAAAACAACTATCCCTTTTATCTCACCATAGAAATTCTCTCTCTTTATATACCGATTTATTAAGAGGCATCTCATTAGCAGTATAGTAAATTTCCAGGTGGGCAAATTTGTAAGTAATTCTCAAGAAAAGGTGATTTGAATGTTTGAAGTTACAATTTTTATAGCTATCTGTATGCCTTTAGCTATAGTTGCTTTTCAAGTTTCTAGAATTTCCTGGTTATTTCAGACACACTTACAGCATGGAAATCTGATTTCACTATCTTTATCTTCAAATGTAAGTCCCTTTTTCTGAGTAACACTGAGGTGAAAATATGAAAAGTCATGCTCTTCCATATGTAATTGGCTACCACAGAACGTCTCTTAGGCTGAGTAACAAACAGCCATAAATGTAAAATCAAATACAGAAAACAAGCAAGCATTGCTTTTTGCTAAGTTAAGCAAAAAAGCTGAACATATGAACTTAAAAAAAACCCAACAAACAAACAACAAATGAAACCCACAAATCAATCCCACAATGCAATCAATAGGAAAAGTTTTTTATGCAGTTAAAGGGCATAAAAAGGGAGGAGCCCTCACCTTTCACTAATGTGGCCTGAAATTACCTGTGCACTCTGGATTTCTACTTAATTCCTCAAAAGCTTTTGCAGGTTGTCTGCTCTTCCCCAGTACAAACCCCATGGGTTTGTAAGTACTATGCACACATTGCTGTGATCAGCGGTGTCACCTTCTTACTGGCCAACAGGATTCATGTTTAGCAAATCCCCCATCTGCTGCTCCTTACATGCAGGGACAAGCACTGAATTAATCCAAATCAATGGGTTTTGATACCTGAAATTCTTTTTAATCCTTTACTCTCTCTACAGTGTTATAAAATATTTGGATCAAGAGAAGAAGAGAGACTAACTTGGCACTCAGCAAGAACGAATTGTATAGAATTAGGGGGAAATTTGGCCTCCATACACAATGATCAAGTACAAGGTATGACACTTGAGCCTTATGGCACTATGTTTGAAGCCAGCACATTTTACCATCTAATGATGAGGCTGAAATGTCCTCCAGATCTAAACAGGATAACCTATATAAAGGAAGACCCAGAGCTGCTTGATCCAGAGAGAAGACTGGAGTGAGATACTATGACACTTCCCAACTTGTGCTAAAGCATCATGTGGAAAGAAAAGAATAATCTGTTCTCCATAGACTTGGAAGATGGGATAAATTGTAATAGTTTATAGCCAGGAAATGCCCACAGATATTCAAGTTAGACAATAGACAAACATCCATCAGAAATTGCTTATATGCAGTTGATGCTGCCTTGCGGAAGACTGAATAATCCTTTTGAAGTCCCTCCTAACCCCATTTCTATAATACTTCCAAGAAGCCTAAACAGTTTTTATCAGAAAAATGTTTCCTTTTTTTCCTCTAAAATCAAACAGCTTCAGTTCAACTACCCATTGTTATTTCTATCTTTTACCATTAGCTCATAGTCTAACAATACTGAACTTGATATTTCCAATATTTTCAAAAGATGATTGGTTGTTTTATTTGTACTTTCATTTACATGGAATTTGAAGAAAGGAAACTCCTTAGCTACTTTTTATTTTATTTTTATTTTATTTTTTAATCTGTTTTTTATTAGCTTTCCTAACCTTCCACCTAAAGGATGTTTCCAATGGAACATGGATTGGACTGAATGACATTAAATCTGAGGATACATATCTTTGGACAGATGGAAGCGTATTTGACTATTCAAAGTGGGCACGACAATTCCCATTTAGAGATGTATTTGTAATGGCTGACTGGAAGTATATAGAGGTAAACAAAAAAAGTACAAGTAAACAGAAAAAATCAGAAAACGTGCAGCTTAGATAACATACTCAAGGTTAAAGTAACCAGCCTCAGCTGGTTAAAGTAACCTTCTGTCCCAGCTAAGATCTTATTTTCAATAACTTAAAGCAGAAGGCAACTGAATATTTTAAAGACCAAATTTTTAAAGCTGTACTCAGAGATTATTAGCCAAGTTTAGAGTCCACACTTATTGTCATTCCTTTCTAGAAGTCTAGAACTGCAGAAAAGGAATGCTGTATTATTTTTACTGCTAGAATTAATTATATTTATTAGAATTATTATTTTTTTGAAAATATTCAGTATTACTAGCTGTGATTAACTGTGATTACTAACTGTGATTACTAAGATCTGGTTAACTGTTTTACCTTGTATGGCGGGAGTCCAAGTGAAAGTCCAACAAATTCAGTACAGATTAACATAAACAACATAGTAAAAATAAGGTCAATACTCTCTCAGGAATTTTAATAAACTGACAGCAGTTCGTGCATTAATCTGCCAATGAAAGTACATTTGATTAAGATATATGATATAATACATTTAATTTCCAAGAAGCAATAAATGAAAATAAGAGCCAGAAAATTAGAAAAGAAAGCTATTAAATTTTTCTCCTCACACCTATTTCTATTATTTTTCTGGGAATTTTGCACTTTATCACCAGCAATTTGGGGGTTGGTTTGTTTTTTTTTTTTCCTAGACTGACTGTATTGCAATGACCAAAAGATCTGCTGATGAAGAAGGATTTTGGGAAAATACTAGCTGCATGAATAAAAAAAGCTATATTTGCCAGATGGACAGCAGTAAGTTTTAATTTTCTTTTTGTTGTTATTATTGTTTTCAATTTTTGTGGTTTTTTGTTTGTTTTTGTTTTTGTTTTTATTTGTTTGTTTTGTTTTGTTTTGTTTTGTTTTTCCCAAGACATTTACTGAACAATCTGAACATTTAAGTCCTCAGTTGCAACTGCACTGCTTTGGGTGTTGCAGGTGGGGTGAGAGAAGCAGGGCTACTTCGCCAGCTAAGGAATTCCAGTCACAAAAGTCACTTTGGAATAAGGACTATAGAAAAGATTTTGCTTCACAACCTCTCCCCTATCAGCACACCCATCAACACTCAGAGAGGCTGACTTTGCCTACCCTGTAGATATCCACACTTAAATCAGTTGCCTGCATGTGGCAAGCAGAGGCTTTGAAGGAAGGATTCACCTGCCTCATCATGAGAAAAATGCCTAAAGCAGGTTCCTAGAAGAGCTGTGCCTTCAAAATACCTGTTCTGTATTGACAGAAAGGTTTAGCCATCTGTGCTTTACCCAGCTGTCACAGATAGCAGTGTCTGAATCCAGTTATTTTGCAAATACAGTACAGAAAGACAAATCCAACAGTGACCTCCAACTGAGGGGTTAAGTGAGGCCAGTTAAGCTGGTTAGTTTGCTTGTCGGTCTCTAGCAACGCCTTCATATCATAAGAGCAGCAATACTCAGAAGGGCAAAAGTTCTAGTTTTCTTCACGTAGCCCCAGGGTGGGAGACACATCCGGAGCACAGTGACACTGCAGAGTTTGCAGGAATAAAAACAGGGAACTGCTGAACAGCAAATAAAAATACAGGAAGAAGCCACAGCTGGGCCAGATGTTTCACAGCTCTGTCCCATGCAAATGCAGAAAGATGCATGAGGATGACACTAGCAAAAACAATTGCCAGGGCATCCTCAGCAGTGGTTGAACACAAAGACAGTTTTTGTCCTTTTATGTGTCCCCATCACTCGGTCTAAGGCCTTCACCTTCTACTTCCGCATCTATAATTTAAGGCACAACTGCAGTTTCCTTTTTCACTTCATCCTACATGTAGCAGTCGGGTCACAAACTTTACTTAGAATGAAATTCACCCCTATTTTAAGACTGAAGTGATGTGGAGACCCTGTCCTGTGCTTGTGCCTGGGAGGAACTTCACCTGCACTGAGGGTGGGGGACATGGAGAATTCTGGGCAAAGGATCATGGTGGGACCAGTATTCACATAATTTCATTTGGTCAGTTTATGTCTATAAATACACATAGCTCATTTTCTGCTTCCCCCTAATTCCTGAATGCACTATTTACACTATAATTTAAAATAATTCTGAATTACCATTAAAATAAGGGTTTCAAATAAGGAATGCTTTTACTTGATGCATGCGCTCCCACATTATATTCATCTGTTACTCAGAAGTAATACTGCTATCTGACAGCTAGTAATTTTCCCCTTCCTCTCAAATTTGTACCTCTTTCCTATAGAGCCTGAACTGTTTCATTCCACAAGTGCTCCAGATTCTGATTTCATCCATTATGGTAACAACAGCTATTTAATCATTCCTTATAAAATGAATTGGGAAGAAGCAAGAAAAGCCTGCAAGGAGAAATCTTCAGAGCTTGCCAGCATTTTTGATTATTACAGTAATATATTCTTGCTGCTGCAGGCAGTGCAATATGGAGAGCCTTTATGGATTGGGCTCAACAGCAATGTGGTAAGATTAATAAATTCATAGTTGGTGCAGTTAAATGCTATGATTGGGTTACTATCAGCAAAAAAGGGGAGGAAGGAATACTAAACAAAGACTCATGAATTTCTGCTCCTGCATATTTATCTTTGGCTCCTTACAAAGTAATAATTTTCTCCAGTTTTTCATAGTGATAGCTGCAGTTTACTCCTGAATGTTTCTCCTCAAAACTCCACTAGAGCCTAAAGTGCTTATTTGACAGCCAACTCTGAGACCCATTTCCACCTGAGCTTCCCACAGGTTTCACGTTTCCCAGCATGGGAGGCGTACCGCTGAATCCTGATTAAGTATTTTAAACCAGTATTTTACCAGACTAGGACAGATATACAAACTGGGCTGTATATTTCACTTTGAAAATGTGCTTTTGTATAACTCCATTTACCTGAAAGAGAAGATGAAGGCTGTAGAAAAATTATGTTAAATGTCTCTTTCAATTTTAGAATTCTGGCTACTATAGATGGACCGATAAAAAGAAAATAAACTTTTCTAAATGGGGCTATGGAGAACCAAAACAGAAAAAAGCCTGTGTCTACCTAGAGCTCTCTGGGGCCTGGAAAACAGCATCTTGTAATGATAAACATCTTCCTCTCTGCAAAAAATCTGAGGGTAAGCTATGGTGATGACCTTTGGTTTTAAGGCAGAAACCTTGCTTTATTTGCTTTGACTGAAATATAAATTTCTAAGTACATATAAAGGAATATTAAGCCTGAATATGTAATGTCATTACCTTTATTTTGCAACAACAGTACTTTATTTTTAAGGAGTTATCATTCACCAGGCAAGATACTGCCATTTTACTGGACTGGAATGATAGCTGCCACGGGAGCAGGCAAGCAGCTCATAGAGATTGTGGGAGCTTTAAACATTTCACATGGAGTCTAGAATGTAAAACGTTTTGCTGACAGGGGTTTTGTGGGAAGGCCTGTAATCAATGAAGTCTACTGAGTATAAAATAAAATTGGTTTCTTCAACATATATGCATCATTCATACACGGATTATTACATCATTTCTATTAGATTCCAAAAGCTGGGTAAGGGAGGAAGAGTTGTACCTGGCAAAAAAAGGGTCTGGTATTGGTCCAAACAAAAGTTCATACTTCCTGGGGACTCTGTGGGTACCACTGAGGAATACTACACAGTTAAAGCTACAGGCAAACCTCAAGATGGGACTGAACCTTTTGGCTTTCTCATTTGTATTACAGAAATATCTTTCAGCTCTAGTGACACAGACCTAATGGAAATTCAGAGTTTATTTTGATATGGTTTTGTGGTGGTTTGTTTTGGGTTTTGGGGGTTTTGTTTGTTTGTGGGTTTGTTTGTTTTTGTTTGTTTGGGGGTTTTATTGTTTGGGTCTTTTTAATTTCTTTTCCAGGCCATACTTTTAATTTCATATCTGTTGATTTGCAACTTCTGTTTTAAAAACACATATACTAACTGACAATGTTGCTGTTTCTTTCCATAATATCATTGCTTGCAGGAAAATGAGGGGCTACTACATAAACATTCAGTAAGCCTGAAATTATTCTATGCATTGTCAGAGTGAAAGAAATTTTATGTAAGGATTGTTATCTTGAGGAAAATATTAAATGGGAAATTTCCACAGTACACTAGTGTTTAGATGACATTTCATTTAAAATCAAACTTATTTGAACATCTTGAGTGTTTGGGAGTATTCTGGTTTGGGGGTTGGGGTTTTTTTCCTGCTTTTTACTGTTTCTTTTATTTATACAAATTTGTTGGTTATAACAAAATAAACTAGAACCAAAATCCCTAAACACTCAAACATCCTTGAGACAGTCCAAGTCTGATTCAGTTTGTAACATAGAAGAGCCCAGGTTCACACTGAGTCATCCGGTTGTGGCTGAGTATTCCTGCTCCTCATAGTCACTCTTGACTTAGTCACTGATAATTCTAGCACTGTGTGCCGAAGAATATTTTAAGTACTTTTAAGAAAAGATGTTTTTAATACTTGATTCCATATCTGAATAACTGCAATCCCTACTGAATGAAAGCATCCATAATATCTCGTTTCTTCTAGATATACTTCCTTCTGATCCCCCCCAGGATATTGGAAAATGTCCTGAATCTGATCATATATCTTGGATTCCTTTCCGAAGCCACTGCTATTACTTCAATGCCAATGAAATGAGCTGGGCTCAGTCTGTGACTCAGTGCATTCAATCAGGTAATTATTCTTTTTACTCAAAGATAGGATTTCAATCTTGACATAAAAAAGAAGACTTTAAAAAAGTCTTGAAAAGTAGTACTACAAATCTACAAATAGTAAAAAAAAAAAGGGAAATAAATGTCTTACTTATTTTTCACCATTCTGTGCTTTTCAGCTATGAACTTAATCAGATTTCCTTGTTTTATTTTTCCAGCTGTGCTTGTTTCTTGTTGTATTTCTTCCTTTGCAAAATTTCCCTTTTTAGTAAGATTTTAAATTATATGTAATTAAAAAAAACCCAACAAAACAGTTGTTTCTGGCCTTATCCCTTCTTTTCCATATTTTTCTCTACACAATAGTCCAAGTAAATATATAATAACAATCGCTCATTTTTAACACATATCACATTTTTGTGATCTGAAAGGGGTTGCATGTGCTGCCTGGAAGCCCTTGATTGATCAGCAAGGCTCCCTGGCAGACTGCAGAGCCAGAGGAGGGCAAATGCTTCCCTCCCCCTCCTTGGGGACATCTGGTCCTGGCCAAGGCCATGAGCTGCACTTTGGCACTCTTTCACCTATGCTGCTGAGTCATCACCTACCTCATCCCTGTCTCAGGAGGCTGTGAAAGAGAAAAGGAAGCACTATACTGCCCAAAAGAAACGGATCTTTTGTTTCATATCTTTTTAGATCCTCTTAACCCTCTTACTCTACCACCATTGCCAGTTAGAATTGCTACGTCAGCCTGTCAAATCATGAAGAGCAAATGAATAATCATCCATAATTCCTATGAAATATATCATCCAATCACTTGAAAATATAGTGCATTTGCCTGGTGTTTAAGAATCATCATCTTCACTGTGCTTTGGTGTCTTTCAGTTGTGATGACATCGCTCACTGTCTGTGAGCTGGACATGATTCTGTGGTCTCTGTTCAAATGCTTGTTTACTCCCTGCCTGCAGGAGAGGTTTTATTATTAACTTTATCCTATCTCAAAAGCTGTAACTATGTTGGGGATACCTCCAGTCATCTTCCGTTGTTTTTTTAATAGGTGGTATGTTGACTTCTGTAGAAGATCCAGCTGAATCAAACTTTTTAGTAGAACATGCAGACTTATACACAAGCAAGACAAGTGGCTTTTGGATAGGAGTGTACAGAAACGTAAAGGGTAACTATTCTAAGTACTACAAATAAACATGAATAGAATTTATTAAATGGACCAAAAATATTAATAAGATACATTGTTTTTAAACAACTAATGGAAGTACAGTAGAAGTTCTGACCTCAGCCCTCCCTGAGGATGTCTCCTGTTCCTGGTCTGTGAGAAAGCCTTTCCCAGTGGGGAACAAGTGCTGGCTGACTCTCATTTTCTCATGGCTGGGCAGCACCCATGTAGGAGCTGAGGGTGTTCAGCCAGAACCCACAGCATTAAGCTTCTCTCTGTCTCTGTATGGAGAAATTTAGGCTACTGACTACAGAGCGAAGTGGAAAACACACATCTGGGAAAAAACACTGGTATCAATCCACAGACAATCAGAAGGAATTTTATTTTAGATTATTTTCAGCTCACTGAAATGTCAATTTTTTTTTTCAGAGCTTATACAAAAAAGAAAAGCTTTCATTTTAACTAAGCATAAGTTTAAGTGTTGCAATAAAAATTGCTTGATTTGCAATGATGCTGCTGAAATAATGATTTAGAAATTAGAAGTAAAAGGCCTACATTTAGCTTTTTTCAGTTTGAAGCTTTAGTATCCTAGACAAAAACATGGAGCTAACATTAAAACTAAATTATGACTGAAAAATCTGCAAATCAGAATTTGGAAAAGCAATTATACCATTTTTGAGAATCAAATCAAACGCATTAGAAAACAACTGCAGATGGAATTTTTGAAGAAAATAGTATTGCTTTATTAGGCTGAATTAAGTAATATTGTGTTAATATTCGCTAAGATGAAGACCTTTCATGTGGACCTATTCGTATTGACACTAACATTTGCAACATTAGGGCAGCTGCTTTGGCAAGACAACAGTGCCTTAGACTTTGTCAACTGGAGTGAAGGACAGCCCTCAGAGGACCAGCTTGATTATTGTGTGGAGTTGTCTGCATCCACTGGTTATTGGAGTATCCTTCCTTGCTCTTCCCAAAAAGGTTTTATTTGTAAGAAGCCAAAGAGTAAGTGAATTTCATATTTGCTCTTGATGTTTATGGGTCTTTTTAGTATTAATAGCACAATATGATAATTACAAAAGACCAACATAAACCAGTCCTGCTTATCACCTGTTACAGTGTTTAGACAAAAATAATATTATTATACTGAGTTATCCTCATTTTGTTTGCCCTGTTCATGAATTCTTGCTTTAGAACCTCAGATTTTCTTGCACTCTGTGATGAATATTCAATTAATAATTAAAAATTATCAATATTTTCTGAAAAAAATTAAAACTCCTCTGTTGTTTAGTTCCCCTCAAATATGAACCCATCTTTTCCTACTAATATTTCTATTGTCTTTCTGTGGAACAAGTGCTGCATCAATAATTTGCTATTCTTCCTCTTGCTGTACTATGATACATACTGTTCCAGTAGGAGATGGATGAAGCAATTCTATTTAAATAACAACAGAACGGAAGCATGATCCAGAGAGCATAGAATGACCTTTGAAAAGAGTAGAAATGTTTTGGTTAGCATTTTTTTTTTTTTTAATATTGTGTTTCTGTGTAACTGAGCACCATCTGCTTTGGTCAGGAAGTAGAAATATCAGAATATTGTGAGCCAAGTAGCCATGTGGTTATTTTTGAGTTGAACTGTTGATTCTGAAAAAAAGCCTGATTTCCTGCCCTGTTTCACAACCCTGAGGTTCAGGATGTTTCTGAGGTTTGGTCCTTTCGCCCCCAAAGCAAAGCTGGGGCGGGAAGCAGCAGTCACAGCAGTGTTCAGTGGTGTTCAGGGCACATTCTGAAAAGGAAAATCTTGCTTTTAGGAAAACTAGTTTTCTTTTGGTAGTCAGGCAATGGACACTACTGAACACTAATTCTTTGTTACCAGATGTGTCAGAAAGCATAAACTCGCTATCAACACACACTTTATTCAATGGGTTTGACTGTGAGTGGCCCCCATATGCAAGCTAAAGTACAGAGGACATTCCCTGACACCGGGTTATCCAGCAGAATAGTGTTTCAGCACAACCAAATACTCATTCCATTACAGCCAGCTCTGCATCCTTTCACGGAACAAATTCAACAGCTGCTTTTCCTGGGTACTCACAAACACAGGAGAGCTCAATGCATTGCTGTGCTCCTGCAGCAGCAGCCCAGCTCTTGTTGTATCCCATTCTTCCGGGGGTTCCAGTGCCCATGGGGGAAATCCATCCTTGCCGTGGCCTCCATCCAACTCGCACCAGCTCACGCCCAGTACACCAGGAAAAACCTGGCAGATGGCGCCCTCTGTGCACAGCCGGGAAAAGCTGCACAAGAAAACTTGCACTTAAAAACGTAATTATAGATGCAAGTGAATTTTGGTAAATTAAGACCTGCTGGGTCTCAAAGCAGTTGTGTGCAGTATAGGAAAACTCAAATGTCCTCAGCACTTGATCAAGTCTCTGCAGGAATCAGATCCGGTGAAATGGATGAGGTTTATTAATCAGGGGAGAAAACGGAGTCCAGCTAAAGCAGTCAGAAACTACCAGTGCCTGGAGACTTTTTGGTTTTTTATAAAAGAAGCAAGAAGAGGGCTTTAATATGCAAAACAATGCAGCTTTATTGAAAGAAAATATTGCATTAAAAATCTGTCACACCTTTTCATCTCTGTTAATTTAGCAGATGTGTTTCCAGGAGAAATGATGATGTGTAGGTTACCAGACCTTTTGCTAACATGAAACCGTCAGGAAAAAAATGTGACCTTTCTTGATTTTGACTAAACACTTTTTTTTTATCTTTAGCAGCTATTCTTAAAACAACTGTAAATGTGGAAGGTAGGACTGTTTTTCCTCTGAATTGTTCAAAAATACATGAAAATAAAAACTTGGTGTTTTTAAAATTAACTTAATATTATTTATTTAGTTTATGTATATTTATCTATATAAGATTAATTTACTTAGTTGACATTGCATCCTTTCCCAGCATAATATAACAGTACCTACAGGACACTTAGGGCATCCCAGGATAAGTAAATGCTTTGGTAAATTGATCATCCCCTCTTTGCTCCTTCTTTTGCATGATAAAGATCAATGAGGAGGACTGACCCAGAGAAAATATGACAGATTTTAACCCTGGTAATTAAAGGGGAAATTATAGTTTTCATACTTATTTATAACTACAGCAAATTAATTTCTATTTGCTTTATATTTATTTACAGATGCCAAAAAGGACAAAGCCAATGGTCACCTGAATATGTGGATACTACTTACTCTGGTCCTCATCATTTTATTAGGGATGGTCTTCATGATTTATTTTGCATTCAAGACCAAAACTCGAAGTGACACTGCAAGAAAGGAGAGGTGGTGCAGCAGACAGATAGAATACAGCCATGCCCTACCTGAAAGGGACAATGAAAGCGATTCTATCAGCAACAAAGAAAAAAATGAACACAGTGTTGTCTAATAGGATAAACCAGCCAAACTAAATGGTTAAGCTTAAGAAAATATAGCTGAAACAAAGTAAATCTTAGTCTCTATTAGATGCATGTACTTCTGTGAACTAAAACTGGCAGTTTTTCCTTTGGTAAGGATGAAGAACTCTTGCTCTGTGCTCTTCAATAAATATTCTCAGGTATTAATTGAGTTGGTACTGCACGAAAAGGCTAATTAAGCAGAACAAGTGGGAATTTAGATTTAAAAGTTATGGGTTAATACCATAGTGTTGTCATTATTTAGAGATTTGTGGCAGCAGTGCATACAGAGTCAAGACTTATATTGAGCACTCTCTTTGCAGAGCACTCAGCCCTACTGCCTGCACCTTGAGAATATCTCACCATACTGTACTGAAGCATATCGTTACTCAAGCAAAGTGGTGTTTGGAATAAACAGAGATTTACATGAACTGTTTGTCCCCATTGTTGCCCCTGTCTTCACTCTTTACACAAATATGTATCTTCCTTGTGATAGTATTACAAGTGAAATGCAAATACTTGTCCTTCGTGGCTTCAACTTGGATTTTGCAAAACAAGTAAATCTTCGCAAACAGTCTTATTCTATGACTTTGAATGTTTTTTATCAATTATCAACATGAGAGCATACCAATAAATGATCTATAAATTACCTAATAATACTTTGGTTAATAATACTTTGGTGTTGTTCATTTAGCATGTAGAGATGTTACACACTTCACTGATCAAATAAGTCATCTACCTTAAAAGAGAGGCTAACAAGGAAACAGAAACATGAACAAGGCATGCAACTAAAAAAGGCATAAATAAACTATAAAATAAAGTAGATGCCAAATAAAGTTGGGACAATCCATTCCTGGTTTTATTTCAATTGACTGCTCATTTTAGGATGTCTTTGCTTACTATCCTCCACCTCTCTGATAAATAGACTGACAACTGGATACTGTGTCTATGCTACAGGCCAGTAAAGCAGTGGGGCACACCATAGTGCCTTGGTGTGAAATGTTTTAGAGGTTTACTGTGCTGTTTAAGTTTTCTATGAATTCTTTGTTGTCTAAGACATACTGAAGTTAAAAAAGATGTCAGGGATTTCTGGGAAAAAGAAACCTCTAAAAAGTGCATAAGAACAGTAGAGGAGATGTCACGTGGCATTGGATTGATGTCTTATAGATATGGCAATTAAAAAAAAACATATTGCAAAGGATAAGGAATAAAAGACATTTTGTACTCAAACTACTTTTTCCTGACAGTCTTCTCCATCTTACACCTTTTTTTTTCCCTCTTCATATGAAGCTATAACAAATACACATATTTTAGGGTTTTTTGTAAATACTGAGACTGAATTGGATTCAGTGCTGTTTGTTTGCTAATAGTAAAGGAAGCAAATAAAAAGAGTTAACAGATGAAAAGAAATTTAAAAATAATATTATTATTTAAAATTTTGATATTGATAACACAGCTCTGAAGACCCTGTGCTTCTTTCACACTAAGTGATGTTTTGCCCTTGCAGAAAATATTGTGAGCTTCGTCTACATAATAAAGCCAAGAAAAATTTGAAAGGCAAATTTCAGCTTAATATTTTTCCTTCTTTTTCTTCAAAATAAATAGGGTATTTTGCATCATAGCTGAAGTTCATTTTCACTTAATAAAGGACTGAAGGTCATTTGTAAAGTTTGAAAATAGTTATCTTTCCTTGTATCATTATACACTTGGTGTAAAGGAAAAAATAGGTATTAAAATTAATTTGTACTTTATGGATTAAATAATTTTGAAAGTTTTATTGCCAAAATCACTGGTTCAGAGAAGGATTTGTAAAGATTTGGTTAATTTGTATTGGTTATTCTAAGATAAATTCACATGAAATAACAGTAGCTTTATAAGTTGATAAATCAGAGTTGATAAAAGCCAGGTGGAGACATAGTGCTCAGTTTGTCAAGTCACCAAACAAAATTAAATTGCCCTGTCTGGGTTAATTTTTCACTGAAATAGTTGCTCACTCCATCAAATGAAACGAATGTATCATTTGTAGCAGTTAAGACCTATCTGCCTAAGAAATTTGCATATATTTTTGAGTTTCCTAGGTATTTATTTTAAGTCCATCCATTTAAGTGCACTTCCTACTTCTTTATCTTTGAGGGTCAGAATGTTATAATTTCAAGTAGAACCAAGAATGTTAAAAATAATTCAGCAGAATGATGTTGAACTGTTAAAACTTTGCCACTTGCATTTGAGTGGATAGAAACTTCACTTTCAGATGCAAAGTCTGAATTTTGTAATTATTTATAGATTTCAAAATACCACATGTGACAGGATATTTCCTTATTTAGAGCCCAGAGTTTTCTCTTTCAACTAAAAATCTCTAAAACTGAGAAGGAACCAGTATCAACTGATTCCGGAAGGACCTCTACTGCAGCAATTAATTTCACCTCATCTCTTTGCAAATAAGAAGACAGAATGAAACACTCAGCTTTTTCTACAGTCTTAGTTTTCCTCTCATTTGTTCGTACTGCTTTTCAGAGACTTGGTGAGTCTATTTTTTCCTATCCCCTGAAAAAGTGGATGTGAAAGTGGGCATCTTTGTTGTCTTGCTGGTTTCTCAGGCTCTTTAAAGTTTTCACAGCTTGACTACTCTGCAGTTAATATTTGTCCTAACTGGAGTGGTCCACAGAAACTTACAAGACAGATACAGAGATGTTGGTTTATTTTAAAAGAGAGGGGAAGAGTCAAAAATGGCTAAAACTGGGAATCAGTGAATAAAGATTGACTTTTGGGTAAAAATTAGTTATTGGATATGTCTGCTTTGTGAAATAGATGGACTTCACAGGGTACTCCATAGTCCTGTATATGTGACTAATTAGGGTGTTGCATGTGTATCTCTTAGGCTTAGCATGAGCTTGTGTGGGATAAGATGGAACTTGTGGATTAATCTAAGATGTAAGATATAAGCTGTGGCTGCAGAGCTACCTTTTGATGTAAGGATGATGACAATATTCAAGGACATTTTTTCTTTACCCTTCAGTTCATTAGATTTGTGGAGTGGGGTACATATCACAGCTTCCAAAAACAGATACTGTGCCACGTGAGCTGTGCCAGCACTGTGCTGTGCAAAAAGGGGGTCCCCCACCTGCTCTGTGACCTGGAAACCAAACCCACGAATGGGAACCTCACAGTTTCCAGCAATAATTTGTGTTATTAGTCCCAAAAATACTATGAGGGACAATAGCTAAAACGTAGGGGACTACACTAAGCACTTATTTATGTAACAGTAAGACATAGAAGATTTAATAATATTTTAAAAAATTTGCCTAAATGGACAAGAAAAGAAGAAACTAAGTCTCAGCTTCAAATTTAGATTTGCAGAAGTGACACTTCCATATTTTACTGAGCTGGTCTAAGTAATACAGGGACTTTCTAGGAGGGCTCAAGAACTATTCTTTCTGTCATAGCATCCCAGAATTTTCCAGACACTTTCTCCTCTGTTCACTACTTAACAGTGGCTTGCCCTAACATCCTACAGTTCTAGAAATTTACTTCAGTGTTTGCAGGGGCAGGTCACTGTCCCTTATGTCTTATTCTATCAAATGGATATGGGAACAATGCTGTATCTCTGTTTCCAGGTGGCAATTTGAGGTACAGAGAACTAAAGGGCAAAACTTTGCCCTTATGTTCCATAGGCCCTAGGATATTCCTTGTAGTCCAAATTCCAATCCCTCACAACCCAAAGCCAGTGATGGCTGCATGCTACCTGGAATTTTGAAAAGCATGCCAGCTTTGTGCTTAGGCTGACCTGCTTTGCGTGTCGATAGTACAGCTGCAGTTCTGGATAGCCCTCACCAGCAGGGGATACTTGTTTCAATGGATTACTAAATGAGGCTGCCTCTAACCCTTTGGGAGCATTAACCGCCTTATTTAACACTCACATTGCACTATCACAGAGGTCCACACCTGTAGTATCTGTACCTCTATACACTGCCCAGTTCTGGTGAGAATGTTTGTGATTTGATTGTGTGAATTATGTTGACTTCTTATGATGGACATACTAATGAAAGGTGGAACAAGGCAAGATAACGAGTTACCATTACACAGTTTTTTCATTCTAAAAAAAACCCACCCCAAACCATAACAGAACATGCCAATTCCAGAAGGAGCAAGAGTCACAGAAGGCTCACTCATTAAACTGTTTTAAGCACATATGCAACCCCATGGAGGTGTGTGGCATGAGCTAAATTTATAATGCATGAAGTGATGGCAAACTTACAAATTTTCAGTAAGATCTCTTTTGGAAATCTTGAATGAAATGTACATTTCAGGAGAAAATTAAATTCCATTACAATGATGACATTTTTGAAGCTGTTGTAATGTGTTTTATGTGTTCTTATTTCTCTGTGTTGTATTTCCATGTAGTTACATGTGCTGCACTTATTTTTCCTTCCCAGAATGAAATAAGTCTTGAAAATGTCATTTGATCCTTTTAAGTGTGACTCATATTTGCTGTCTCCCGACATGTCAGATCAGCATAGAATCAACAGCTCATCTTTCTCTGCACAAGCTCCTTCACTATGTGTTCACCATAAATACAGTAATTCTGAATGTTTTGTTTTACAGACAATGAAATATTTTTAATATACAATGAGGATACTAAGCTCTGTTTAAGTGCTCAGAGTTCTGAGGCAGTCACTACGGCTACTTGCAGGAAAAACACTGACTTACAAAAATTCAGGTGGATCTCTGATCATCAGCTGATGAGCATGGCATTTGCACAATGTTTGGGAGTGCCCTACAAGCAAAACCAGGCTAAAATTTCTCTGTACCCCTGTGACAAGGAAAGTGAATTCCAGAAATGGGAATGCAGAAATGAGACCTTGGCAATCCAAGGCGAAGATTTCTTTCTCAGTGCTGGCAAAAAAAAAGAAAATATTGTGCTGAAAACAGTATCAGAGACAATGAATAAATGGAAGATCTACGAAACTATGGATGATTTGTGTTCTCGAGGCCATGAAGGTAAAGTTTATAGGTTAACCTTGATGGTTTATTATTGAATACACTTATTTGTCATTACAGATACAGTTCTATGACTTCTGCTCCCCTCAGTCTAACATCAGCTGTTCACCCTGAGGCAATGATGGACTAGAGGATGATTAGTTCACATATTCAGGCCTCTATTCCTCCCTCCTGGAGAAACACAGCTGCTTAGGTTTTCAGACAGCATGCTTTATTTTTTCTTCATTTTTAAAGCAAAGCTGGAGGTTATTTTTAATTGTTAGCATTAACCACTTTTCTCAGTGATGCCTAGCAATAATACAAGAGGCAGTGGGAAGAAACTGCTGCACAGAAAATTCCACATGAATATGAGGATGAACTTCTTTACTGTGCAAATGAGCAACCACTGGAACAGATTGCCCAGAGAGGTTGTGGAATCTCCCTCATTGGAGAGATTCAATATCTGTCTGGGCACAATCCTGTGCCATATGCCCTAGGATGGCCCTGCTTGAACAGGGAGTTTGGGCCAAATCCACTGTGATCCCTCCCAGTCTGACCCATTCTGTAATTCTATGATTGTAATCAAAGCACTTTATTTAACTGTATACTCTTACTACTGAGGTTGTATTAGTATTGTTGGATGAAGGGCAAAAAACTCTAAGTTTAATACACC